TATAATCAAGGTTATTTCTGTTTTTTTATCACCATTTCATTTCTTATTCCAATCTTATTTCTACCAACCAAACACTATAATAAGTTATAATAACAATTCATGTTCTATTCCATTCACTATACCAAACAAAATAATAACTATTTTATTATATTTCAACTTTATTCTATTATCACAGAATAACTATTCTATTCTATTCTTGTCTATTCCACGAGCCAAACGTGCTATAAGAGTTTTTTAGATTTAAGAGTTTTCTTTCAAATATTTTTAAGACTATTCACCACATCTAGCACTTTTTTTGAGAGCAACACCCTTAGGGAGCCCTGATGCTCTGGTACTCTCGAAGGGGAGTGTAAGGTAGAGATGGGTGGTTCGTCGATGCATAGGGAAGTCATCGATTGGCCTTAAAAAAAAAAATAATGAAAAAAAGACATTTTTAACATTTCATATTTAATATTAATGCTGTTTAGACGTTTAGAGTGGAGTGATTATCTTAAAAACTAATGAACCTTCTTATAATTTTGATTGTGCTTGAATATTTTACCTTAATTTAAATATAAACAACAATATTTATAAAATAATATTGTTTTAAGATGAGCTTATGCTCCAAAAACGTCCTTCATGCCTGGCTTGAATAGTATAGCTTGCAAGCTAGCTTAGGTCGCCCCATTCATGAATAATCACTTATGTTTTTCTTTTTCTTTTTTAATAACAATTATAATTTAATGGTGAGTAATAAATTAATAATCTTATAAAAACTCATTTGTAAAATTTAAAATTTTCATTGTCATTTCATAATATATATTTTTTATTTTTAACTCTTCATTATACACAAGAATTAAATTGCAACAGCCTTGTACGTAAAAGTTCGTTAAATTGAGTTAATTAATAAAAGTTGATTAATTTGATTCGATTAAGTTGATTAAATTGATTAATTCGATTAAATTGAATCGATTTAATTAAAAAAAACTTGAAATCAATTAATGAAATTAACTGATTTTGTATTTCTTATTTTCATAGCTTCTAAGATAAGAGATTTTGTTGCGAGTAAAACATTTATCCACACTCACATATATGATGTGACCTAAGGTTTTAATTGCATCTAAGCATATAAGGGGTTTTCTTGCATGTAAACCACTCACATGCAAATCATAATTAATGACTGAAATTAACAAAATCCAACCTCTTGATTTAAAATTCATGATTCATGGATATTAATTTAATTTTACAGTTTTACAAAATAACTTGTTAACATATATATAATCAAATTAAATGTATTAAAACTCCAATTATGTAGGTTTAATTTCTAGGATATCTTTCCTTAACTATACAAGAAAAATTTGTACGAGAGGAGCTAACGCATTTGTTTAAATATATCTAATTCTTTTCAAAATCCACTTTCTTAAAATTAAAAATTGGTTTCAACAATGTCTATTTTATTATGAAAATAGCATAACTTTCTTTTAACTAAATTTAGATTGTTATTAATGGTGCATGTAAGATATTCCATAGTAAGATTTTCAATTTTTTTCCCAAAATAAGCTGTGTGTCCACCATAAAAAAGATATAATACCAATAATTTTTCAAAATAAAACTATTAAGTAAATTAAAAAATTAAAATTTTAAAAAATAATAAAATCCAGTAAAGTTGGTTAAAATCAAATTAATCGATTAAACTAGATCAATTTGATTAATTTTTATAAAAAAATGAAAATTAAATCAAATAATGAAATATTTTAATTAACTTAATCGATTTAACTAATTGCTCACTCCTATGGACCATGAGTCTAATTAAGTTGGATCTAATCTCAATTGATTCTTAGCAAAGAATGCGTCTATGATTTATTTTAAACAAGAGGTGTATATGATATCATCTAATTTTTATAATATAATATATATTGTATATAAGAAAATAATCATTGGGGCAAGATTTGAAAACTGAAAACAACAATGTCTTAAAAAAATTAAGGGTGGTCCATGAACAAATGTGGACTCTATTACCCTAATGCTAGTCTAATTGATCACATCAACATAAATGCAATCACAAGTTTGTTGGAAAATATTGCTCCACGCATGAGTTATGGTATAATGAGTATTGCACTCAAAGTGGCTTTTCTATTATTAAGCTAATCCACTAACCTTACTTATATTTTACAACTCACCATGCATTAAATCAGCTTAAATTTTTATAATAATTGGAGACCTAATGTATTTTTGTTTACTAAGTAGTGTAATGCTTCTTTAATCCATTTTCATTTTTCACTTTCTTTTTGCATTTGGGTTCATTTGCAAGCCCATTAACTATTTATATTAACATTGCACACTTAATTTTTTTTTCCTAACAATTTAAATTTATTTTAAGACGATCACCAAACATATATACTTATATCATTAAAACGTTAAAATTAAATTTAAATTAGTAAAATAAAAATATTTAAAATTAATATTTTTAAATATATATAATTATAATAATCAGCGTGTACGGTTAGCTCGGTTGTTACAAGCCTCTGAGAAGTGGTAAACGTATAAATATAAATAGTACTACAAATTGTATGGGGTCCACATTAGCTGATTTAAAATGTTGACCGTTGACCGCTTTTGTTTATTCCAAAGATAAAACGGTAAAAGAGATGGGGCCACAGTGTCGTACTTGGCAACAGCCTAGGTGTTTGCCGTGGCAACGTGGCTCTGTTTATCACATCGTGATGGAAAAGCGATCAGGCCGTTTATCTAACTCCGACCCTTGATGGCGACTCCCCGTGGGACCATGCAAGATCATCACGGGGTCTAAAGTATTTAATTTCTCCAAAAAAAAAAATTGATTCATTAATTTAGTTGCTGTCCTTGAGGTAGGATATGCAACGTCGACTTGGTTGATATTTTTGTATAAAAAATAATAAAAAATAAACGAGGCATGTAATTTATATTTTTTATATGATTTATATTTAAATAACTTTAATATTTTAATCACATAAACCAGGTATAATTTAATCGTTTTTAAATTTATTTTAATTTTACTAAAAAAAAAACAAACTTTAGAGTGAATTGATGTGTGCATATTTTAGAGTTACGTGCTGATTGCATGTTGCACACTTGTTGAAGCTGTGGCATTGCCAATTTGCCACCACACTTCAAATGTATTAGTTTTCCTTCTTTATAAAAGAAAAATCATATAAATAAATCAAATAAGTTTTCGTATTTGGTTTAAACTTTGAAAGCTCTATAAGAATAGTTGCAGAGGATTTTCTTTTTATTCCAAAAACACCATTTTTGTTGTACTAAAAATTATTATTTTAATAAAAGTAGTGATAAGAGTTTTATTTTAATCTAATTTTTTATTAGTGGTGCTATATTAAAAATATTTTGTAATGGAAAATAAATAAAAAATAAATCATTCCACTTTTATCGCATCAATTAATGCTTGACAAATCACAATATGATATTGAAGTAAAAGCCATTGCGCAAGTATGGATGGATTTGATTAATGAAATATTCACTCAAATATATTTACATGATAATTGTTAATTATTTTTAATATGATAAAAAAATTTTAGGTATAATATTGTAAAAAGTTTTTAAATTATTTTAAAAAATTTAAATAAATATTTATTATTCTATTACGTTTACTTAAGTTTTTTATATTTTTATTTTAAGTAAAATAAGTTTTTATTATTAATGATTAATAAATTATTATTAATCAAAATGTCATTTGTTATTTTATGTTTTATGTGATTCTAACATAGATGGTCAAGTGTCATGTATTAATATTATCATAATACATTAGTATGTTATATCATTATCTATCATAATATATTAATATGTCATTTTATTATGTGACATAAAATAATAAGTGATTTTTTAATTAAAAATAAATAAATAAATATTAATTATAAAAATTAATATAAATTAAAATAAAAATATAAAAACTTAATTAGATGTAATAAAAAATAAAATTTATTTAAGTTTTGTTTTTTCATCATTTTTTTTAGTGCAAAATTTACCATTTTGGTAATAAGGACTTTCCTTCGTGAACATCATAAAGAGACAAAATGTTGGGAATTGAGAGACTTCCCTTAGAAGGAGCAAAAGTACCGGAGGTGAAGATAAAATAATAAGTGCTCGTTTGGTTTAATTTTTTTTTTAATTTATTTATCTCTTAAAAGTAAAAGTTAAGCTAAACATAAATTTTCAAAAACTTTTAAAAAAAAATAACTTTTTTTAAAGAATAAAATTAAAAAAAAAAGAGTTTTTGAAGAAGCTCCTAATAGGAGCTTTTTGTTCCTTTTTTTTAAATACAAGAAAATTTTTATTTTTGTTTTAAAAATATTTTTATCTGTTAAAAATAATTACAATATAACTTTTTCAAAAAAAATACCCTTTACAATAATTTTAATTAAAATTAAAATTTATAAAAAATAACTTACAAAAAATATTTACCAAACAACTTCAACTTAATTCTAAAAACTATTATTTTTTATAAAAATTTTATAATAAATTTTAAATTAAAAAAAAACTAAACCAAACAGCGTCAAAATCCAACTTCAGATTTTTTGTCACGTAATCTTTCTCTGGGTCCCACTTCTAACACTTGGCATGGCGGTGGGGCCATCAAAAACCAGAAAATCATGCAGTCATATACGAAAAAATAATAAAAAAATATTAATCCTAACGAATAAAGAAATAAAAGTGTAAAGGGCTGTTTAGTTTTAAAGTGTATTTTCCTAGTTATTTTATTTACACACAATATATGATTAAGAGAACAAGTTCCTTTTATAAATTTTAAAATTTAAAAACAAAAAGATTTTGATTTTTTATTTTTTCGAGTACATTTCCTTAATATTATATAAAATAAAATGAAGATTTTTTATTCGTATGAATAAATAATTTAATTTTCTTTTCTGCAAAAAATAAGGAAAGACAAAAGAAAAGGAAAAAGAAAACTGTGTAGAAATACTACCCGCCAACCACACCATTGTCTATGTCTCCTAATGCCTGAAGAAATTTCCTTATTTTGTGGTTTTCTAGTTGTTGATGAACAGAGAATAACAAAAGAAAGAACCCGTTCTTTACAACAGGGAAAGATTAAACAAATTCTTTTCTTTTTTTGTATTTGAAAGAATGTTGGGTTCTTCTTCTTCAAAAGGAGGGAATAACAGCTATGATTATTCATTCAAGATACTATTGATTGGTGATTCTGGTGTTGGCAAAAGTAGCTTACTCGTTAGTTTCATCTCCAACTTTGTTCATGATCTTTCTCCTACCATTGGTACTCTCTTTTTCAACTCTTCTTGTTTCTTGCATGTTGGTTTTGGCTTTGGCATTCTCACCCAGAATTCGTTTTGAGTTTTTTTTTTTTTAACTTAGTATTCACACACACACACACATATAATTTTATTAATCTATATATTTGTATTTATATATTCTTTTTATAGCTCAAGCTATCTAACAGTTTCATTAGTAGCCCTCCAGAAAAAAATCAAATGAATGGAAGTCGTTGTTTTTTATGTATTGGGGTGGCAAGAGATTGAAGAGAAGGACATTCGAAGCAATCCTTTTTTTTATCCAATTGTTTTTAGGGAGTTTGAAATTAATGGAAAATATTATGTTCATAATTAGAACTACTAAAATTATATGTTAAAAGAAAGAGAATGAAAGCTGGGGTGGAAGCTGAGATGGCACACCTAAAAAGAATGAACTTTGGGTGAAATTGTTTTTATTCAGGAGATAGACTCAATGGTTTAGGTTGCTCTAGTTTGAATAGATTGGATGAAACAGTGAACAGATGAACAGTTTAGACAATTGCTGCTGAAATAGATAACCGTAAAAGACTAGACATGGGAATTAATTCACTTGGTCTGCAGCTCCGTCCTGGTCATTCTAGGATCCACCTGTTACCACAATGATAGGCACACATATGTCTTGCTTAGAACTTGTCAGGAACAGAAAAAGATTTGAAAGGAATGCAAAATGTAAACAAACAAGAGAAAAGCTCTGACTTTACTCTGTATTCTTGGACATCTCTGCGTCCTATCCTTTAGCAAATATTGCTTTAGCACTATTGCAGTCTACATGTTCTAAACTTTTATGGATCATGTATATTGAGTTTTGTTTGTTGTTTTGAGTGTTTCCAGGGGTGGATTTCAAAATCAAGATGGTCACAATTGGTGGGAAAAGATTGAAACTTACAATTTGGGACACAGGTAATTGATGGATATTGCCAACACCTTGTAACTAGTTATCACTTAGAGTTCTACACTGCATGGATCTTGATAGGATTTCATTGCTTGTTCTGGCGTTTCCCTTCTCCATCTGGTTTGTTACACAGCTGTTTTGCATGGCTTCTAGTTGATGCTACTGATTTGTTTGACTGCACTCCTCTGTGGTCTTCAATATGAATAAGAAAGGGGATTCAGAATGGTTTTCATCCTCGCTAGACATAATACAGATTTTGAAGGATGTTTGCAAGTGTTAACTTTTGGTTTCTATTTGAAATGAGATTTCAATGATTCTGCAGTTGTAGTGCAGGAGTTGTAGAAATATTGTAGAAACTTGTGAAGATTTCAACTTTGTTACCAAATGATCAAATTTTGAGAATCTCAAGGTTGTGTCAGTTTGATTTTTGAGTCAAAATGATTATGAGAAGAAGAACTTAGTAATATAGGTAAGTTTTGAGAGTCTTAGCAATAAATGATTCAAGGAGCTTCTGGAATGCAGAAAAGGTCACTATGGAATCTGATATGCTGCTTGATGTTTAGAATCTGCTTTTAGTTGAATGCCTGATGGGCCACTATGCAAAATCTGGTAATTGCTAATAAAAAGGTTTTAGATATTCCAGTAATTTTGAAAATATTATCAAGGCTGAATTTCTGATGCTCATACTGTTGAATGATGTAGCAGGTTAGCAACTGTGCCTTATAGAGTGATTACATAAAATGACGGCATCTGATGTGTGATGTGCTAGTGTTTGGATATGCTAATGGGTCCTAGGGAGCCAAAGAAACTTATCTAATAGGTTGCAAGAAAAAGGATCTAGGCCTACAATGTCATAGAACAGTTCAACAGATGACAGGATTAATGTACTGATGATCAGAAATAAAAATTTTGAAATATTGCTTTGAAGGTTGAGAGAAAGTCCTAGATATTGATGTAAGATGCAATAGTTGTTAAGCCTCTGATTCTGATGCCATTGCTGCCGAAGGGTATAGGGCTGATCTTGTACCCAGGGGAGGAAGATAGCATTGATAAGTGCATATTTGAGGGGATGGTATGCTCTCTGTTGGATATGCTGTAGGTTGATGGAACAGTAGGAGCAGATATTGAGGTAGCAGAAAGAGTATATATTAGCCAAAAAGTTCCTGGAAAGCATGCCCTCGATAACATAGAGTGGAACAACTGGATATATATAGACATATAGCTAGAAGTCTCAGTAGCATATTATACAATTTAGTACCTTCTAATAAATTTTCTTCTTTTCTCATTGGAGCTCTATATGCTAATAGTTACAAACTGACATCCTGCTTGCAGGATGTCATTGAAAGAACTTGACAAGAATTATTTCTGAATGGGTTTGCAGATGTGTTAGTGAGAAGCCTCAACTAGGACTTGTGATGTATATGATCTTAAGAAGTATACTGCTGATATAATGATATGCATCATTTTCTTAAAAAATAAAGTGAAAGATTTTTTAAAGACAAAATGGTGGTCACTGCTAGAATGGAACCAACTGTTATGACATATTTCCAAACCGTTGCAGCAAGGAGCACCTAAGATTTGTTTACTGATGTAATAAAATCATGTATAGTGTACATTTTCTTGTGGAAGTGTGTTACCTTTTTTTTTTTGTGGGGTGGGAAGGGGAGCTTTTGTCAGTCTATTATAAAAATTAATGTGGAGTTGCATACGATATGATCAGTTTGGGAACAAATGGACCATTGTTTTAACATTGTTAGCATTTAGATAAGTTAAAGGCTGACTAAATTGTCTGTTCTTTTGCATAAAAGTTGCATGTGTGCATGTGCAGAGGTATGCCTATGAGTTTTATGTGGTGTAACTGTTTTTGGTCCCTCGAACACTTTGGATATAAATTCAAATCTCAAACATCTGGGTTTCCATAGTATATTTTTTTTCTTTCAGATGATTTAAAATGTGCAATATTCATCAATAAATAGTTCAATGACTGCAAATCGACACCATGAGTTCATAATAGCAGAAACTTAGCCTTGAAACTTGGATATATCCCTGTACGTTGCATTAGAAGAAAAAGTGTCTATCCAGTATATAATTCCTGTTGTTCAATAAGAGTTTATTTCTTAAAATGGACTAACCTTAACTTTGTTATTGTGGAACTAGAGCTGGGAACTTACAATACACCTAGTTCTCATGTTAATAATATGTTTTACCTATTGCAGCTGGTCAGGAGAGATTTGGAACATTAACTAGCTCTTACTATAGGGGTGCACATGGGATTATTCTTGGTATGTCCTTGCAACTATGAAACCTTTAGTCCTGAATATTTTGTAGGTAATTTTATTTTTCAGAATTTGGATTTTCCTCCTCTGACCTTCTACTTTGATATGATAAATTTTTTCAAACAATTTTTTGTTGGGCTTCTATGAACTACCTAATGCTTGATGGCATATGTGAATGGATGACGCTTCAAATCAGCTATTAAGAATCTTTACTTCCCTTTATAGGTTGTTTACTTCATAGCTTGTGCACCAGCAAACTCCAAGATCCTTGCACCATTGTTTTTTGGTATTTAACCATTACCATAATGTAAGCTGGTCATATTTTATCATGCAACTGGTTAACCCAAGTGTCAGTATTGTTGGATTTTTCATCTATTTAGGCTTTGAATTCAGATATTAATATTTATTAATGAATATTAGTCTACAAAGAAGATTTTCTTTTTCCATGTGGAATAGTCATTCTTGTTCCCAGGTGTTGGAGGTAGACAATACAGGTCCTACTTTCCAGTACAAAATCTATGGAAATATCTAAATATTTTTTTAACTAATCTGATAAAATGTTTCTATGTTCATTATAGTTTTCCTAAAAAATTTAAAGTGGTTTGCAAAAGATGCAAATATCTGCTTAATACGTGTAAAAGCAGAGGATTAAGTTAATAGCTTATTACTATTTTATGCAGAAATCTCCTTTTATTTAAGATAATTGTGCTTTCTTATCTATTATACAAAATACCAACATTATTAAGGAGCAAGAGCTCCAATTTCTCTGTTCACGGTCAAGAAAGCAGCCTAAACAATGTTTTGTGGCATTCTGCGTCATTTCCTCTTTAACAAGCACCATCTCTTGTTTTCTTGCTAGCGACATAAATGGTCTTTTCTGGCTGCATATATTCTGAATATTTCTAGACACTTTAATCATCATAAGGTCAGAGTAGTTCTGTACTTTCTTGTTTAAGATTTGTTGGTAATATTTGTTGAGACTATTTTGATGTTATCGCTGCTAACGTAGCTAAATTATGGGGACTTGAACCCTAATATCTTTGTTCTTCAAAGTTTATGATGTGACACGGCGAGAAACCTTCACCAACTTGTCCGAAATTTGGGCAAAGGAAGTCGAGCTCTACTCCACCAATCATGAGTGCATCAAAATTCTGGTTGGAAATAAAGTTGACAGGGTAAGTCCTATAAAATATTACTCTCTTTTCTCCCATAGAGTACATGTCATTGAATATATATGTCGATGCCCGTGATGAATGATGCAGTCTCAGGGTTTTCTTTACTAGGGGATAAATGCTTAATGGTCATCTGAATGCTTAGGATAGATGCATACAACTTGTTCTTTTTAATTTTTTGTGCTTTTTGAGGTATGTTGTTCTTATGAATGAGCAATGTGCCATTTTCAGGACAGTGAAAGGGCTGTTACCAGAGAAGAGGGTATGGCTCTTGCACAGGAACATAAATGCTCTTTTCTTGAATGCAGTGCCAAAACTAGAGAGAATGTGCATCAATGCTTTAAAGATCTCATTTTAAAGGTAAACTTCTAAGAAATGCAAGCATTTCTCAACTATTTAAATCTCATAACATATTCATAATGTTTTATAAGGGCTGTTAAACTGCAGTTATCTCTCATTATTTGATACAGCTGTTCTATATGATGATCTTTGCTGAGTACGGTTTCCAGTCCATGCTGGAAGCTTTATTTTCTTTCCAGGTTGCGACATATAGTAACACTTTTTATTAGTTTATAGATTCTTGAGGTACCTGCTTTACGAGAGAAAGGATCTGCAGTGGTCAAGAAACAGATTTTGCAACAGAAACAAGCACACAAGGTTTCCCAAAGCAATGGCTGCTGCTTTCAATGAAAATTCAGTGACACTTTAGGTAGAATAATAGACGATGCTACTAAACTACATATACAAGTTACACATGGTGATAGTGGCAAAAAGATGGTCAGACCATCCTGGATGCACTTTGCAATCAATAGGACAGCTGGTTATATGTGCTACATAGTAAGTTTTGTTGGAGACATTGTCATTGGTTGGACTGTAATTTCCAAAATATAGGGAGATGCTGTATCATCTTAGGTTAATCTAATTTTTTTATCTTTCAAATGTTTTTCTTCTCATGTTTATTTCTGTTGTATCTAGCAGACACTCATCATTAGGTCTGAAGAGTTTGTTTGAGGGTTGGTTAGGGAATTAGAGATGTGAGAGCAATACATGGATTGTGGATTGAATAATACCAAAAGAAAAACCCCATCCCAACAGACAACAAGAGTTGTGACTGTTATGATGACATGAAGGTTTTTGATGAAGATGTTGCATTCCCTTGAAAAAGAATATAACCAAACCCACCCATCGACTAATGAGGTAGCAGCTAACACTGCATTTGGAAAGCAAATAACAGAGTTTAAGGCTGATTTTTAAGGAGAAGAATCAGCACCTATATATAAGGGAGAAGTCAACCAGCCCTTATTAAATGCTTGTTTCTGATATTTAAGACTCAAACCCCTTTTTGTCACTAAAAACATTTATCCTATTGAAATAGTAAAATCAAGTTGAAATTGAATGTTATCTTTAATTTAGAAGTAAAATACGTAATGTTTTAAGTTCTAGACGTTGAGATGTTTCTTTCGGAATATTTACATTGGTCTTAGAATGTACAACTCAATTATTATGATCGTAAATATTAAGGATGAATATATGAGTAGTGCTACTTGCATTGTTCCTGTATTGGTTATGATTGTGTCTAAGCGGAGGCATCATTTGGTGATTTAATTTGATTGCTTAAATTAATTTTATGGGTCCCCTCAAATCATTTGAAGTTTTGAACTGTCTTTTTTTTTTTCTAATGAAGCACCAGAAAAGAAAATATTGGTAAATAAGCCGTCCAATTTTAGATCATGGCATATGACAAAAACCAGAAAACAGCTTATATATACAAAGCTTTGCCAGAGTCAAATATATCATCAATATTGAACAAAACAAAGGCTTTAATAGCATTATTTAGGCAGATGCTCAGTAGTTATTGCCGGCTTAATACTTTCCAGTTTCCAGGGCTGAATAGTAAATTATACACTTAAAAGGAATCTTTCCTTCGCAGGGCTGAGTATCTAGAGCTGGATACAAGTGTTTCCATTTCTTTCTCTTTTCTGGTTGTTTTCTCTGGAAGCTTCACCTTATTTATCTCAAAGGAAACAAAATATCCTTGATATGCACGCGTTAATGAGCTTCATGACCTATACACATGGTCTAGGGCAAGGAGCCAAAAAAAGGCTCCATCTTTACTTTGTTGCCTCGTATTTAAATAAATAAATCTTTTACTTGATATGGAATGTGCTCAAAATTTAACTGTGAAATACAAGTAAGGATTACACACAAGTACACACGGTCGTAACAAGTAATATAGTAATAAGTAAAGTTGTCGATCCATCGAGGAGTTGATTTACTATTTGTTACTAATTACTAAAATTGTAACATGCTAAGTTTTATCCAAGCAACAAGAGGAACAAGTTATTAAATTGAAATAAAATTTACTTTAAAAATCTACTCTAACCTAAGGATTGCAAGTT